GCTTCTTGGAAGCCAGGATGGCCAAACTTCGTCTCTCATACTTCAGACACATTGTCAGGAGGGATCAGTCACTGGAGAAGTATATCATGTTTGGTAAAATGTGCAAAGATCTGGAATCAGAAAACCAAAAAGGAAGAACACGCTCAGCATTTGTCAAGCTGGGGAAACTGAAGAAAAAATTCAAGCCTCGACTTTTGCTATTGAAAGATTCACTTGGCAAATTATTGAATGACGCAGAAAGAATCAAAAGAAGATGGAAGGAATACACAGAGTCACTGTACCTAAAGGAAATGGTTTATGTTCAACCGTTTCAAGAGGTAGCATATGATCAAGAGGCAATGATACTAAAGGAGGGAGTCCAAGGTGCATTGAAGGAAATGGCAAAAACAAGGCACCAGGAATTGACAGAATCAAAATTGGAATCTTTCAAGAAATTGAGGTGGTCGCACAGGAAGCACTCACTCATCTTTGCCAAGAAATTTGGAAGACAACTATCTGGCCAACTGATTGGAAGAGATCCATATTTGTGCTTATTTCAAAGAGAGGCAACCCAACGGAATGTGGAAACCATCAAACAATCTCTTTGATATCCCATGTGAGTAAAGTTTTGCTAAAGATAATTCAGAAATGGCTACAATCATACATTGACAGAGAACTTCCTGAGGTTCAAGGCAGATTCAGAAGAGGCCGTGGAATGAGGGATATCATTGCTGATATCTGATGGATCTTGGCTGAAAGTAGAGAATATCAGAAAGATGTTTACCTATGCTTTATTGACTACTCAAAGGCTTTCGATTTTGTGGATCATGACAAGCTATGGACAACATTGTGAAGTATGAGTATTCTGGAACACTTAATTGTGCTCATGAGGAATCTGTACATAGACTAAGAGGCAGTTGTTCCAACAGAACATGGGAACACTGTATGGTTTAAAATTAAGAAAGGTGTGCGATAGGGTTGTATTCTTTCACCATATTTATTCAACCTGTATGTTGAGCAAATAATCTGAGAAGCCAGGTTATATGAAGAAAAACATGGCATTAGAATTGGAGGAAGACTCATTAACAACCTGTGATATGCAGATGATACACCCTTGCTTGCTGAAAGTTAAGAGGACTTAAAATACTTACTGATGAAGATCAAAGACCACAGTCTTAGATATGGATTGCAACTCAATGTAAAGAAAACAAAAATCCTCACCACTGTACTAATAAACGACATTCTTATCAATGGAGAAAAGAGATTGAAGTTGTCAAGGACTCCGTTCTTCTTGGATCAACTATCAACACTCATGGAAGCAGCAGTCAAGAAACCAAGGTTTGCATTAGGCAAATCTGCTACACAAGACCTTTTTAAAGTGTTGAAGAACAAAGATGTCAGCTTGAGGACTAATGTGTGCCTGACCCAAGCCATGGTATTTTCAATAATCTCATATGCAGTAAATAAGGAAGACCATAGAAGAATTGACGCTTTTATGTTATGGTGTTGGAGGAGAATACTGAAAGTGCCATGGACTGCCAAAAGAACCAACAGATCTGTGTTGGAAGAAGTGCAGCCAGAGGGCTACTTGGAGGCCAGGATGGCCAAACTTCATCTCTCATACTTTCAGACATATTGTCAGCATGGACCAGTCGCTAGAGAAGGATATCATGTTTGGTAAGGTGGAGGGTCAGAGAAAAAG